AATACAACCTTTTTAAGAATTAAGAACTTACCAGTGGTCGAGTGTATAAAATTACTTAAATGGTCATGGGTTCGAGCCTCTCCAACGGATAAGCCACTTTCCCATATTTTCAGGGACTTTTCATACGTATAACACATAAATAGATGCTATGTTCTCATACAAAGTTCTCCAGGGAGGCATCCTTCTCTGGTAAACATCTAAATAGGGCTAGTTTACCATAGAAAGTCTAACTGGAAGGGCAGACCACCCACGTATCACGTTGCCGTAAATAAACCAAACCAAACCAAATGGTGAGGTACCAGACCTGACATATCCGGGAGAACATCCAAAAAATCCACTGTTGAACACAGCAACGAATTGCTTAATTTATCTGGCAACATTACGTGGTGCCATATGGCAAAAAGCTGAATTTTGAAAATTGCTGATGAGTTTATAAAATATTGTAAATATAAAAATTTTATTGCATATTTAAACAAACAAATTATAACTTATTAATTCGTCCAGCGAACAAGATCATATCTGTCCTTCGATCACGTATAAAAAACAAGAAGGGACGATTGACAAAGAAATTTGGTGTGAAGCTCCTGTTTAAGCTACTTCTCACTATAAAGAATATACCAGTTGCAGCAGCAGCTTCGCTTCCTTCTTCGTTTACTTCAATCACAGCCTTATGCAGAATATTTGAAACGTGCAAATCCCTCTTACCGCTGATTCCCGAAAAATCTGCATCGCCATTAAAAGCATCTCGCATACCTAACGATTGAAAACTCTGTTTCAGTTCTCTAAAATCTTCCATTTTGAATTTCGGTAATTTAATATTTACTTTCCTCGGTGTCAGATTTGAGAATATGTCTTCTAGCTTATCGACATTAATTTCATTTACTAATTTCTTTAGTCCATCCATTGTATTTGGCAGCAAAATAACCATGCCTATATCCTCCCCTTTGTAGGGTAATTCTAATGCCCGAAAGCCTTCGTCTTCAAAATCTGCGTAAGGAAACGTTTCCTTCATATTCATCATAGGAACAGCGGCACGTTCGATTCCGTAGTTCAGAAAGGTTTCGTTTTTAGTGGCATCGACGTCGAAAGTTTTCTTCCATATTCCCTTGAAGTAAATTGCATTCAAGAGGATCATTCTTGTCAAAGGGGGGAGGCTCTGGACCATGCTTGAGATTTTCCCGTTGGTTTTCTGACTAACCCAATTATTTATTTCTTCAATTATTGCTAGTAACAACGGACTTTGCTAGTCCGTTGTTACTAGCAAAGTCGACTTCTTTGAGAAGTGCCTTGTAATTGCGCTGCAATAACTCTCTGTATTCGGGTAATATTTTATAAGTACTTTGAGAAACAATGGCATTGGCAATCTTCAGTTTATATTCGTCGGAACCGTTGTCTAACAGATTAATTAGAGAAGCAAAGTTTCGGTGAACGGTTTCTTCGTTGGCACCGATTTCGTTGTATCGAAGAACGTGGCTCATTTGTTCTGCCGTTTTGCCTCTTGCAGCGCCATAAGCCATGGCTAGAGCCGTGTTGATGCTCACAGGTGAGAAGAAAGCATTTTTCTCGGCAGGAAACGTTTTCAGTAGAGAAAAACAGACTTTATTATTGGCTTTCGCCAGGTGTTGAAGACGTTCTTGAGAGCCAACTTGGAGGAATAAGGCAAATATCGCTATTACAAGCGATGACCGTTTCCAGTACATTGCAATCTGCAAATAATTAATATACATATACATGAATATTCCACGTTATAATTCTATTGATTAACATTTACTTTAGATAGAATTAATAAAGGTTTTGTCTACTGTGGACCACTGATAAGTGGATAAAACCACTTATCAGTGGTTTTATCCACTGAACCAGTTGATCGTAGGTTTCGCGCCTAGCCAACGAGCCGACCTCGTGGAGTTTTCCGAGTATTCTTTACGTTAGTAACACCTAAATATGAGCCAGTTTTCCATAAAAGACCTTCCGGGAGGCATTACCCCTCAGCAGATCGCCCGTGTGTGTTATACAAACAAAGAAACAAACGTGGGGCAATGATTATACATAATGGATCGACAATATAATTAAGATTTAATATAGCCAAACTGTTTTTCTATAAGGTTAGATCAATAAATAACTAGCCAAAAACTAATTCGTGTTTGGCTATCCCAGCTGGTTATTTATTGATCCACGTTAATTTATAATATCCTAAACAGGAGAATATAGTATTTATTCTTATTAAAAAGTAAATCGTCTACGTTACTAAAATAGTTTAATTGTAGAGTCAATAATTATAATTAATTATATAAAATACTACGTAATTACAATAAAAATTGTATAATTTACCTGTTGGTAGTTTCCTATTGAGAGACAAGTTCCTATATACGATGTTTATATAGCAATTGTTATTCGTATACTCATTGTAAACGGGAAAATCCAGTCATTGTAATTTGTGTCAGTGATATTTCCTCAATATTTCTACTGGGAATCGCAAGGTTAGATATTAAAATGGAATTAATTATAAAATTGCTTATAAAAATCGAACGTTATGTAACACACACGTTTCATATTCTATACAGGAACATTTATTGACAGATATTATATTTTATTATAAAGAAATATGTATATAGAAATTCATTTTTAATTTATAATTAATTAATAACCTATTACCTCCTTTCGTTTTATATATCGTTATATCGAAGGTTTTCCTGCTATTGTTGATAATGTTAATTGTATTGTTACAGTGTTTAGTGCTTTAACTTTAATTATTTAAATTAATATATATTCTCTCCGCCTCAAATTAGCAGTGGCTTGCCCCCTGTACGTCTTACTTTTCCTTTATTTCTTTTCAAAATCCGCACTACATCCTTGTAAAATGGCTCTCGTGTTTTGAGGTGTTGCATTAACTACTGCTAATTTCATGTCTTTATATCTACACCTGTCCTTAAAGCTTGTCTGCCCGATATCTTTTTATGTGTAACATTCCAAGTTTCAAACAAAACATATTATTATTATTTTCAATTATATAGATGATGCCAATATGAATGTATCATCATAGGGGTACAATTTTGTTTATCCTGTTTGAAGCTTAATAACTCCTGTGCTTTTTATCGAAAATTTCTGAAACTTTGCAAAGAGATTCGCGTGTAAGAGTGATTGATGCTATTAAATTTTGGTGGTTAAAGGTCGAGTGGGAGGTAAGATAATGAAGGTCAAATTTCACTTTTGTACACATAACTTTCACTTCTGTCATAATTATAGGGCGTTCCCACATTTATAAATTACACTGTATATTAATAATAATAGTGAGTTATTTTTCTCGAAATATGAGTTATATTGACGTAATTTAAGCCCAACCTTTGTTCTACGTATTCACCTATTCGTTTATTTAATATTCAGTTTAATAGTGCAATTATTTTTTTAATAGTTTCGACCCTCTTTGCCTCACTAAGATGTACTTTTTCCATTGGCCAAGCTGGGGATGGTGTTAAAATATTATTTTCTTTTTCAATCAATTGTTTGTTATGTAGATTTTATATAATTATAATTGTAATATTGAATACTTACTGAGAAGGCGAAGGTGAACCACGTATATGGGCGAGTTAAAATTCAAGGTTCACCTTATCTCGTAATACTTACGTAAATATATTATAATTTAGATGAATTATAACTTTTTCCAAGTAAATTGTTGAGAATTTCGCCGTTCTTTTTAAATCCTTGATGAGGTACCGCTTCTGAATCGTACCTCTTCGGATATTGCTGAATGTGTGCCATTCCACACACGTTACTCACTATTTTATAGTCTAGATCAGCGGTTCCCAACCTTTTTGACTCGCAGAACCCTTTTTACAATCTCTTTGGTGGTGCCTCTTAGAATTATCCTATGTCTTACAAGTTAATAGTGTTTAGGAGTAGTGTTACCGGGGGGAGCCTAGAAGTGGGAATACATAACATAAAATCGCGTATAAAGGTTTAATAAGGCACCTGTGGTTGCATTTTTTCAACGGTTTTCTTATTTTAGTTTCAATAATTGCAGGCGAGTGTCTGGTTCTGCATTTAAGGGATTTCTGTATCGTAAATCAAGATGTTGCGTTACCATATCCTACTAAATCATTCTCACTTTTAATAAATATCGAAGAAAATATAGAAAGAATAAGGTTAAACTTAGTTCAATCGCTGTAAGAAATTAATGAAAGAAGAAAATATAAAATTCAGTGAAACCTGTGTAAGGTGACCACTTTGATTCGGCCCCTTCAGTGGTCACATTTAACAGGTTGCACTGTAGTACAATTCCTGATATTTATTTAGATTATTTTAAAACTTCTCGATAAAATAATTATTAAAACGAACTTTAAAAAGTCACGACGAACGTTTTCTTCGAAGAAAATAATATATTCCCGAGTAAATTGTTGATTTAAACTACATATTTTTTTCATTCTATTTCACCTTTACACGCCAATCAAATTTTTGGTTCACTGCCAATTTCTATGCCAAGTAGGAAATACGAATTATTTTCAAATATCACCCATTATCTTTCCATCCCCTCTACCTTTAACCACCAAAATTTAACAGCGTCAATCCCCCTAATACACAAACCTCCCTGCAAAATTTCAGAAATTTCTGACAAAAAGCATAGGAGTTATTAAGCTTCAAATAGAATGAACACAATCGTGCCCCAGACACTAACATCCATAAATACAGGGAAGAGGGAGAAAAACCCGATTTTCCTCGCGCTGCAATTCGTACGGGGTTATTCGGGTCATTTTATAGGGGTGAAATGAATCATTAGAATTTATAAAAATCTGTCTATAGAACACGATAACAGAAATAATGACCATTTTTTTTTATACCCCTTCTCCATCATTCCCTAATTAAACGACACTTTCATCATAGTTATTTTGAGCATAAAAACTCTTATTTATTTATTATTAAATGTATTAAATTTAGTATAAATTTATACAGAGTCAGTAGTAAAATGTAACCTCGTTAAAGAGTTTTCTGAAGAATTAAAGTAGAAACTATACCTTATTCACACGTCCCATGAATATGATGGCATTTGTTTTTCGATCTCGAATGACGAAGAGAAAAGGTTGATTAACATTAAAGTATGGCACTCCATATTCTTTAAAACCGGGTTTAAGTTCAAGTCCAAGAGCCGTTATGGCATTAACTTCAGTTTCTTTTTCGTTTACCGAAATCTCAGCTTTATAAGGGAATTCTGCTATTAACAAATCCATTTCTCCATGAATTCCTGAAAAATTAGCATACTTTTTATACGTATTTGACGAGCCGAAAGCTTCGACGGATTCGTAACTAAATTTTGGTAATTTAACGCATAGATTAGCTGGTCCTAAATTCGAAAATATATCGTTTATTTCAGTTTCATTCATATCTTTCTGTAGAGCATCAAATTTAAGGCTCTCGTCCGGTAATATAATTACCATACTGGTATCATCTCCTTCGTATAACAGTTCTACAGCTTCGTATCCTCTATCCGGAAATGATGCATAAGAAAAAGTACCATTAACACTCATCATTTGTGAGTTAACTGTAGAATGTTCTTGTATATAAAATGCTTCATTTTTTGTTTTTTCAAATGGTTTCTTCCAACTCATCTTATTATAAATTGTATTCAGGTAAATCATTCTTGTATCACCCGAAAGAGCATTGATAAGGCTGGAAAATTTCCCTTTTTCTTGTTTTTTAATCCAATCGTTAATGGTATCCACGGCTTGTTTGCTGTGTTTATCAAAATCAACATCTATAAGATTAATGTGGTAATAATTCTTCAATAAATCTCTGTATTTGGGAAGAATATGGTAATTAGTTTGTGAGAAAATTGCACTAGAAATATTAAACGCCTGTTTACGTGACTTTTCACTAATTGTGTAAATGAAATCGTTAAGTGTTTGATCAAATAATTGATCAGGAAATCCAGTTTCATTAAGGCCTAAGTTCCTTCTCATGTCTCGATGAGTTGCTCCTCCGCTTGTTTTATAAGTCATACCAAGTTCCGTAACAACACCAACAGGAGAGAGTATAACATTATCGCTTTTTTTATACGTTTTTATAGTATAAAATGCTGCAATGTTATTAGCTTCTCCGAAATGTTTAAGACGATCTTCGGCATCGATTTGAAAAATTAAAATTGATAATACCGTTACAAGCATTAATCTTTTCGACTGGATCATTGTTGTCTCCTGAAAATAAATTAAAACCATAATAATAATTAAAATGCCATATATATATTCTTGAAGAATATTTATCTTTACAACACAATACACAACAATTGAAGAAGAAGCCGATAAAGAATTGCTGCGCATTGCAATCATCAATTAATGAAGAGCATTGCAAACCAATGTTTTATGCATTGCTTCAACGATTCTTTAATCAATTTGAAGTAATATTTAATAATTACAAATAATAATAATAATAAAATAACCATACCTGTACTAATAACTCCTATTAAATTGTCTGCAAGGAAAGATACTCGTATAGCGCGGATATCACAATTCTAAACAATATGAAGCGTTAATTTTAATTTCTCTAAATTTAAAAACTTAGATATTACTCATTACAATTTAAGGTTACGTTTTGCCTTCAGAACAAGTAATTATTTAAGTTATTATTATTAATATCGACTTAGTTTCTGCAGTATGTAATGGCGATTTTCGTAGACAAAATGAATGTGGAATTGACAATCAAACCGATTGCATTTTATATGGAAATTAATAATAAACAACTGTAGAAAATATTTACATGTTTCTGTTGTTTATGTAGTTTTAATTATAAAATTTATTACATTATACAATAGAAGGATCATATTTTGTTATCGTTTATAATAATTCATTTATTATATGAACTTTCATCGATGACGTTGGTATGAAATTTCGTTTAAAATATTGAAAAAATATATTTATATTTTAATGTAATTAGCCTTGTTAATAAAAAAAATCTGGGTCTTTTCTTTACTGCAATCTCGGTAATCCGACGTATATGGAACCAACACGGCCGGATTACCGAGATTTTGCTTTACGCACAAAACAAACACAAGCAAATTCATTTTCCTTCCTGTTTTAAAATTTATTCAATAAATATTTAACAAATTGAAAGTAGTGTAATTTTATACGCGAAATGTTTAGAAAAATCATTTTATTTTATTTATTATTTTGAATGATATCAGTTTTCTTTATTAAGAAAATTATTGTCATCAATAAAAATCGAATTTCTAATTTGGGTGATTTTAATTATCATTGGACAAATGTAATTGATGTAATTTTTATATTAAGTTGTACAATTATACCACGCTGGGGAATTAAATACCAACAGGCAGAAAACCCCAGGAATAATTTTATGGCCAGTGGGCGTTATAGCTTCATAAGGCCCATACAAATTTCAATTAGTGAACCCAATGCACAGTGTTGACATCAAACAGTTTTATTAGAGGAAAATGTTTTTTTATTAGAGATTGGTTTGGGGCCACTTGTTGATGGAGGTCGTAGGTAATTACCCTATTTCCCATATGTTAACGTGCCATTGTTCATGGCCCGTCTGCCCGTCGTTTCTCGTCCATCACTTGGATGCCTCCATAGTGGGCCTGGCCGAATCCACAATGGGTATCATTAAAAAAGCCCTCTAAACTAGAAAAACTAGATTCTTTGCAATTTTTACAATTATAAATGGGTGTTTAGAATTGGAATGTCTATTGATACCCTTCACTAGATTTATAGTTGAGTGAGGTTATTGTTCACAAAAATGCTGTGTGTTACTATAATCAATAATTGAATAAATGCCCACGTGCCCACAAGTAACCACTAAACACTGGTCGTGGGTAAGCACTTCGCCAAAGGGCTGCTGGCCACGTAATTTTCTTCCCGTTTGTAACACCTAAATAGGGGCCAGTTTCCGATAATTTCCCCTATTCCTCTCCACCGATTTGAGCACCACCAGACATTTCACTCGCTGTAGTAGGCTGACACCTTAATCGCTGGGCCATCCCCGGCCGTAAACATTACCGGCATTGCGGTTATTGTGGCATATACACAAAGGATATGATGCTGAAAATACAAACAAAAAACCCTTCTTTTATATAGTATTAAAAATTTTACAAAATAATATGTAAAATATAAATTTCGATCGGAGATAGGCATTTTTTTAACTAACACTTTCCGCCTTGTAGGCACTAAGAGAGTCTTTCTTTACGAAGCCCATTGTCGGTTCGTCTAGGCCTACAATGGGGCGACAGGGTAATGAGGGAAACAGGGCCCTCGTAATTCGATTCCGCGTCCCCGGAACGATAGGCTCGACCATCCGGCCCTCCATGGAATTTGTGGGCACTAATTATTGGATAGCAATAATTGACATTACTCTTAAAAATTCAGTGTTTAATTTAATACGTTGTTTCAATTATCTCCACTTTTATCTCTTTCTCTCTTGTGAGTTCTTTTTTTACCCGTACTTATCGCGGGTTCGACCAGGCCAACAATGGAGAGTATGGTAAGAAAGATGGCTTATATATTGATGAAGAATTTCTGGTCTGTTGCTCGCTCTTATTCGATCTCAGCCTCCCAAAGGGGTAGGCTATACACCATCATCACCATCTAGGATATAATTGCAATAGGCAGAAAGATAGAGTAACCTCTCTGCTTATTACAATTATATAAGAATACCAAGCAGGTGTTTATACCGATTGCTGTAACGCTCTACTAGCATACCAATGAGGTAATATCCCAGACAATTTTATAATTAACCTCAATTCAATATTCAACCTTGCTTCATTTGTTCGATTCCAGGTAGAAATATTGAGGTAATATCACAGACATAACAGATCCGGTTTTAGAATGATTAAAATAACAATGGGTTTTTCCTTTTGTAATGATTTGCTATATAAATTTTTATATAGGAAATTGATTCTCAGTAGGAATTTGTCTACGATTTGAATATAAACAGGTAAATCAATTCTTATTTTATTTAATTAATTTAACAATTTTATGAAATTACAATACAGTTTACATTAAACTAGTCTAGTAACTTAGACGACCTACTTTTTTAATGGTATGCATGTAATTACAACTTGTTTACAAATAAATTTGTGGTAGTAAATGCAAATAATTATAGGAAAGTAGCATGTAATTTACTCTATTAAAACTTTAACAAGACATTAAGATTTTATATAAGGTCAATAGCTGTTAATTGTATTTACAGTCGATTACTTTTAATTATAGTCACTCACATCTTTTTAGCTTGAAATATAAATTACTTTGACTTTGTCTCTAGTAACTTAAAGCCTAAAATAAGATAATTTAAAAAAATATCTTTAAAAAGTATATCATTAATTATATATATTTATAATTTAAAACATATTTGTAGATTGCAATGTACTGGAAACGGTCATCGCTTGTAATAGCGATATTTGCCTTATTCCTCCAAGTAGGTTCTCAAGAACGTCTTCAACACCTGGCGAAAGCCAATAATAAAGTCTGTTTTTCTCTACTGAAAACGTTTCCTGCTGAGAAAAATGCTTTCTTCTCACCTGTGAGCATCAACACGGCTCTAGCCATGGCTTATAGCGCTGCAAGAGGCAAAACGGCAGAACAAATGAGTCACGTTCTTCGATACAACGAAATCGGTGCCAACGAAGAAACCGTTCACCGAAACTTTGCTTCTCTAATTAATCTGTTAGACAACGGTTCCGACGAATATAAACTGAAGATTGCCAATGCCATTGTTTCTCAAAGTAATTATAAAATATTACCCGAATACAGAGAGTTATTGCAGCGCAATTACAAGGCACTTCTCAAAAAAGTCGACTTTGCTAGTAACAACGGACGGGCCGTTGAAGAAATAAATAATTGGGTTAGTCAGAAAACCAACGGGAAAATCTCAAGCATGGTCCAGAGCCTCCCCCCTTTGACAAGAATGATCCTCTTGAATGCAATTTACTTTAAGGGAATATGGAAGAAAACTTTCGACGTCGATGCCACTAAAAACGAAACCTTTCTGAACTACGGAATCGAACGTGCCGCTGTTCCTATGATGAATATGAAGGAAACGTTTCCTTACGCAGATTTTGAAGACGAAGGCTTTCGGGCATTAGAATTACCCTACAAAGGGGAGGATATAGGTATGGTTATTTTGCTGCCAAATACAATGGATGGACTAAAGAAATTAGTAAATGAAATTGATGTGGATAAGCTAGAAGACATATTCTCAAATCTGACACCGAGGAAAGTAAATATTAAATTACCGAAATTCAAAATGGAAGATTTTAGAGAACTGAAACAGAGTTTTCAATCGTTAGGTATGCGAGATGCTTTTAATGGCGATGCAGATTTTTCTGGAATCAGCGGTAAGAGGGATTTGCACGTTTCAAATATTCTGCATAAGGCTGTGATTGAAGTAAACGAAGAAGGAAGCGAAGCTGCTGCTGCAACTGGTATAACATTTTATGCCAGAACAAACGTAAGAAATAAGGTTTTACCTCTTTTCTTTGTCGATTGCCCGTTCCTGTTTTTTATTCGTGATCGAAGGACTGATATGATCTTATTCGCTGGGCGTATTAATAATTTGTAAGTTTATTTATTTAATTAAACTATACAGAATTAATATATATCTGTGTAACACATATTTATTTTTATTTACAACGCGCCACTAAGTATTGAAAGAGTTCGTCTTATGTATTAATAAAATCATTAGCAAGAAAGTAACTGATATCCAAACAAAAACGCCTGAAATAATATTATGAATAGATCTATAATACATTTAAAACTTTTTCTCCATTTTCATAACTACATTTTCCTTTTGCGGCTGTTATATATAACAGAGGGAAAGTATGGCGATCGGTGAAAAAATGACCCTTGAACATTTTTACATTTTTGGACTCGAGAGAACCTGAAACGTCGAGAAATGCAATGCAATTCGAGGGTAATTTCTGTATGTATGGATATTTGTTCACCCTATTTAAAGCTTAATTTCTCCTGTGGTTTTGTCGAAAATTTCTGAAATTTTGCAGGGAGATTTGCTTATTAGAAGGATTGATATTATTAAATTGTGGTGGTAAAAAGTCGAGAAAACGGGCAGATAATAAGGTCGAGTATATCTCCAGTAAGGTCTAACTTAATAACGATTTTACTGGTTAGTACCATTTGTACTTTTTTTTTTTATAAAACTCATCCCTACCCTGAAAATTAAACTTTTGGCCATTTTATAATAGTTAAAAATTATAAAGTTTTTAAAGTAAAATATGATAATAGATGGCGCCACCAACATTTTAAACGTTGTCGGGAAAGTTTAGCAACCCGTTGCTGCTTTATATTTTCTTAGTTTTTCTTTTTAAGCATAACCGTGGCGCTTGGTAGCGGAATTCACAAGATTTAACCAATCATATTTGATCCTTTATTGACGTCAATACATCGTTGCTCGCTGTCTGTCGGCCATATTGTTTTTGCTTAGATACGTTCATTATTAATTTACTTTTTAAGTCCTCACAAGCAGCATTATTTCGTTGAATTTCAGTCATTTATTCGTTGTTCCAATGGCCGGTTTTCCTCTTTGATGACCTTGTCACCCTCATTTCAACATCAAGTGATACTTCTTCAATTATCAATAGTACAGGGAAAGTTATACTATTTTTATTGATCTCTAAAAGAGACAAGCACAATTATTTCTATATTCCATAGTAAAAAGTTAAAGCCAAATTAAAAATTACTATGTAAATGGGGGATAAGGTTTTACATCTCTGGTCTTGCCTTTCATCTATCTAACTCTGTTCTCGTGATTAAGGAAAGACAGCCGGAGGGAGGACAATAGGAATTTATATTATTATTATTATTATTATAAGAATTCAATATAAATATTCGTTATTTTAAAATATTCAACTTATAAGTTCTATCTTCCACTACTATAGTATACTTTTAATATTGAAAGCCTTTTATAAAAGTATTATGAATATTAATTTGTATGATGTTTAAGACATTTATAATACGATAATGATTAATTTCCGATAATTACTATGCTTTATGTGTGGGATGAATTTATTTGAGTTGATAGAGCTTATTATCTATTCTGATAACAGCTGTACCTCCTATAAGACTTTATTGATTTGCGTTAAAGAGCATCGTAAAATATTACGTAAGTATGAACTATCAATGAATAATAGATGTATTAAATTGCTGTGTAAACTCAAGAAATTCATCACACTAATGGATCTGGATTTTCTACGTAACTTATGCTCACAGACTGTATACGGGATATTACATAAGTAACGAAGTAAAGCTAGCGGGTTAAAGATATAGCAAAATTCGCCGTGTTGAAAAGAGAAACGTATTTTATTTATTCCAGTCGAATTGAGAAAATTTTAAAAAAATCATGAATTCGTTCGCAATTAACGAAATCTGTATGCATTGCTTCTTAAGACCGTGCTGGGTAAATGCGATGATCTATGGTGTGGATCCATTCGAACCGTGCAAATGCCGAAATAACCAGTTTTCACCTTTAATTAAAAGAAAATTTATAAAGAAATATATTCTATTTTTGGAGTTGATTTACTGGAATGAAGCATTTCTAATGTGGTGGCAGATTATTCCGGGTTGGAATAAAAATGCAATTTGCATTGGATGGTTCGATTTAATTAAAAGCAATACTCTTCTGTTGAAAGTAACACTCGCGTGCTTACAATGCTGCTTTGCTTTTACATTCAGTTTCTTCAAAAACAGAAAAGTCACTCTAATAAAAATATTAAGAAACGAGGATCTTGTGGAGAATATAAACCAAGCGAATATCTTCATCAATATCATTTGTCTGCTCTTTTCTTTTGGTATTATTTTCGCCGTGTTTTGCTTTCAGATTTTCAATGTATTTTTTATCTACCCAGAGTTAGAAAAAAACGAAAAGTTTTGGGGAGAAGCTTTGATCTGTTCAGTGGAAATTGGATTTTCTGCTTGTTTCGGATTTGGCGCTATGGGTTACGCTATACTGTTAGTAGGGGTTTTATTAGTTCTTACCGAAATGGAATTCAACCAATTGATACAAGATTTTTCTCTTGTGAGAAGAAGCGAGAGAAATTTCTATTTCAATCTGAGAAATTTGATGATTCGTCACGAAGAATTGTGGAATTTCGTCAATCAACTTAATACTAAATTTAGTTATCCTAGTGTAGTTATTTATCTCGGTCTTATATGTTCAACTAGTTTCTCTTATTATTCATACTCATTTATAGATGTAAATGATGCAATTAGATTAGGATTTCTGGCAATAGTTGTCTTCTTCACCTTCACTTGTATTTTTGGAGCTTGTTTGTTGTGCAGTTTTGCTTTCTCGGTAAAGAATTTGTTTCTGATAATCTCTTTCATAAGAGGAAATAACGTTGATGTGAATGTTTGAATAATATTTTTAAAATAATATTTTATCTCTCAGATGCAAAATGGCTTTCAAGATGTCCGACAATTTGCTGTCAGCAATTTACATCTGGAAAAAAAGTTAAAAGTCTGTATTTTCGTCTATTTTAAGTGTTTACACATAACTTGAATAATTAGTAAATATTTCATTGTTTACTTTTATTTGTAGATCTTAAATTTCATGAAGAGATTTGGGAAAGTGTCGTTGTGTTTCATGATCGGTGGTATTTATCCAGTTACGAAAAGAATTCCTTTCAAAGTTTGTATTTGTTTATAGTAATAAGAAATATATTTACAATGCAAAATATTTTTAAGCACGATTTGAATAGTTTTATATATTTATAATTAATGGACATTAAATTACACATATATTTTATGTCAATTTCACATACAGGCATCCCCACAGGTAGCGTAAATGAGACGTTTATTCCAGATATTGTGAGAAAACGTTACTCGTGAGTCTATTTACCATAATTTTCAAGGAAACAGATAATGCTTTTCGGAGTTTTCGGAGTTTATAACGCCCGAATACTGGCTAATATTCCATAGATACTCCTCCATGGAAGTATCTGCATGGAGGAGTATCTATGCGACACGGAGGATATCTCCATGGAGGCAAGGCGACACGAGGGATACCTTTATGGAGACAATATCGTATTTCAAAACAATCCTACCAATTCTCATGCAGCAATATAGAAATTTGTTAGAAAAAAATACGAAGTAAAATTTACAATAATAACCAGAAAGAATTAAAAGACACGCTTATCAATGTGTTTGGCACTTCAGCAGATTTTCATAGAATTTCATTGAGTACAGTTAATTTGTGAAGTTTCTACTAAATGTCAAGAATTACGACACCATCTTGTTGAAATTAGTTGCTGTATTTTTCATGACTCTCTCACCTTGCCAATTGCATTTGCAATACAATTTCAGACTCGCCCCAGAATTGTTCTCTTAAAACATTGTGTTGGCGAAAATATAAATTAATTCAACGTTCTCACAGAGCGAGAAACGTTGAATCGAGACATTTCTATGTTAAATGATGTTTTGGTACTAAAAACCATAAGACATTTTATTGGGAAGACGATCTGTGGAATATGCCTGTATTTTTATCTAAAGTTAATATAATTTATATAAATTTAAAATCGTTTCTTTGATATCTCGACAAAAATAACTAATTTCAAACCTCACCTAGCTGTATTTCTGATATTTATTATAACATGTAACATAATTATATTCTATACAAATGCTTTTTTCCAGGTTGCAAGTAATTTACATTCTTTCTTTTCGGCATTTATGAAACTTAAAGGAATATCGAAAGAAGAAAGGGTCTGCATTAATACAACAGAATTTCATTGAGTAGCAAAAATTCGCACCTTAAGCATTGCATTTATGTATCAATTGTTTAAAATTTGAATAAAATTAATTGTAATTCTTTAAAATGTTTTACAAAAGATCCAACATCCTTCACCAACTCACTTCCATTAACGATAGATTCTCAGCTGGCTGATGCCATATAATTGAATAATTTTCTTTCTAAAAAATAAACGGTTTTAACTATAATTAAATATAGACTTTGAAGTATATGAAAACGTGTAAAAAGTCAATGAGCATTCAGTTTTTAAGTGATACTTCACATGACATTTAAAATTATCTAGAAACTTCTAATATACACAAAGAATTTCCTGAATTTCCTTCATTAAAATTAATAACTAACTATTTATAACCATTAACGAATTCTTATACAAATTAATGATAAGTAATCAATATAAATATTCATTTTTAAATGACTTCGAAATTATAAATATCGATAATGCAGCGGCACAAAATAATTTGGAATTTTATCTTTCATACTTTGCATAGTTATCATTCATTTTTCCATTAGTAAAGCGTATTCATAACGTTAAAAATATTTTATAAATGTACTACATACATTTAAATTTGTAATACGTGTAATATATTTATAATAAAATAATAATTCATCTTTGATAAATATAGTTAATATGAATTATAAGAGGAATTATATATATTTCTATCGAGTCTATCGATCATCTTTAAAGATCATCATTATTTATGATGCAATTTTAAACTTTCCATAAAGTAATGGACGTAATTAAATTGTGTTTGCACTCAAGAAATTCCTTGCTTATTAAAGTGAGGAATTTCCTGAGTGCAAACAGCAATTTAATTGTACTTGATTTAATGACGCTGATACAGATTGCATAATAATCAGAGCAGAACAGAATTTCAGGTGTTAAGGATAGACATAGGTTTTACTTATTCTAGTTGTACATAAACTTCGTATAGCGAATCAATGATGAATTCGTTCGCAATTAACGAAATCTGTATGCATTGCTTCTTAAGACCGTGCTGGGTAAATGCAATGATCTATGGTGTGGATCCTTTCGAACCATGCAACTGCCGAAATAACCAGTTTTTACCTTTAATTGAAAGAAAATATATGAAGAAATATATTCGATTTTTGGAATTGATTTACTGGAATGATGCATTCCTAATGTGGTGGCAAATTATTCCGGGTTGGAATAAAAATGCACTTTGCATTGGATGGTTCGATTTAATTAAAAACAATAATCTTCTGTCGAAGGTAACACTCGCGTGCTTACAATGCTGCTTTGCTTTTACATTCAGTTTCTTCAAAAACAGAAAAGTCACTCTAATAAAAACATTAAGAAACGAGGATCTTGTGGAGCAGATAGACCGAGCGAATATCTTCATCAATATTATTTGTCTGCTCTTTTCTTTTGGAATTATTTTCGCCGTGTTTTGCTTTCAAATTTACAATGTCGCATTTGTCTATTCACAGTTAGAAAAAAATGAAAAGTTTCGAGGAGAAGCTTTGATCTGTTCAGTCGAAAGTGGATTTTGTGCTGCTTTCAAATTTGGCGCCGTGGGTTACGCTATAGTGTTAGTAGGAGTAGTATTAGTTCTTACCGAAATGGAATTCAAACAGTTAATACAAGATTTTTCTCTTGTGAGAAGAGGCGAGAGAAATTTCTATTTCAATCTGAGAAATTTGATGATTCGTCACGAAGAATTGTGGAATTTCGTCAGTCAACTTAATACTAAATTTAGTTATCCTTCTGTGGTTATCTATCTCGGTCTAATATGTGGAACCAGTTTTTCTTATTATGCATTGTTCTTTATAGATGTAAATGATGCAATTAGATTAGAATTTCTGGCAATAGTTGTCTTCTCCACTTTCACTTGTATTATTGGAGCTTGTTTGTTGTGCAGTTTTGCTTTTTCGGTAAAGAATTTTTTCTATAAATTTCTTTCATGAGCGAAAATGACGATAATGTAAATGTTTGAATATTATTATCAATATTTTATTACATTTTCAGATGCAAAATGGCTTTCAAGATGTTCGACAATTTGCTGTCAGCAATTTACATCCGGAAGAAAAGTTAAAAGTCTGTATTTTCGTCTATTAATAGACCATTTTAAAAATTAACATATAATTTCATTAATTAGTAAATTCTTTATTGTTTACTTCTATTTGTAGATCTTAAATTTCATGAAAAGGTTTGGGAAAGTGTCGATGTGTTTCATGATCGGTGGTATTTATCCAGTTACGAAAAGAATTCCTTTCAAAGTTTGTATTTGTTTATGGAAATACGAAAAATGTTTACAATGCAAAATATTTTTAAGCACGATTTGAATAGTTTTATATATTTATAATTAATGGACATTAAATTACACATATATTTTATGTCAATTTCACATACAGGCATCCCCACAGGTAGCGTAAATGAGACGTTTATTCCAGATATTGTGAGAAAACGTTACTCGTGAGTCTATTTACCATAATTTTCAAGGAAACAGATAATGCTTTTCGGAGTTTTCGGAGTTTATAACGCCCGAATACTGGCTAATATTCCATAGATACTCCTCCATGGAAGTATCTGCATGGAGGAGTATCTATGCGACACGGAGGATATCTCCATGGAGGCAAGGCGACACGAGGGATACCTTTATGGAGACAATATCGTATTTCAAAACAATCCTACCAATTCTCATGCAGCAATATAGAAATTTGTTAGAAAAAAATACGAAGTAAAATTTACAATAATAACCAGAAAGAATTAAAAGACACGCTTATCAATGTGTTTGGCACTTCAGCAGATTTTCATAGAATTTCATTGAGTACAGTTAATTTGTGAAGTTTCTACTAAATGTCAAGAATTACGACACCATCTTGTTGAAATTAGTTGCTGTATTTTTCATGACTCTCTCACCTTGCCAATTGCATTTGCAATACAATTTCAGACTCGCCCCAGAATTGTTCTCTTAAAACATTGTGTTGGCGAAAATATAAATTAATTCAACGTTCTCACAGAGCGAGAAACGTTGAATCGAGACATTTCTATGTTAAATGATGTTTTGGTACTAAAAACCATAAGACATTTTATTGGGAAGACGATCTGTGGAATATGCCTGTATTTTTATCTAAAGTTAATATAATTTATATAAATTTAAAATCGTTTCTTTGATATCTCGACAAAAATAACTAATTTCAAACCTCACCTAGCTGTATTTCTGATATTTATTATAACATGTAACATAATTATATTCCATACAAATGCTTTTTTCCAGGTTGCAAGTAATTTACATTCTTTCTTTTCGGCATTTATGAAACTTAAAGGAATATCGAAAGAAGAAAGGGTCTGCATTAATACAACAGAATTTCATTGAGTAGCAAAAATTCGCACCTTAAGCATTGCATTTATGTACCAATTGTTTAAAATTTGAATAAAGTTAATTGTAATTCTTTAAAATGTTTTACAAAAGAAATCATTCTGAAATAATTCAATCTTAAAGCAGAAAGCAGCAAGTATTATGTAATATAAATAAGGTTATTTATTGTCATATCGTCACAATGCTGGCTGCAATTTTTAATCGCATTTTTAATTTATTTCGTTTAAAATATATGCTCTCCACCACAAATTAGTAATGGCTTGCCCCTGCACGTCATACTTTTCCTATAACAAAAGAGTCGTTCCGGTCATCTATCGGGGAGATTTTTGAATTGAAATAACTTGCACCGGCAGTTCTTATATAGTTAATCGAGACCTCCTGCTCCTAATACCCCTTTCACACTGTAATTTTTAAGCCAGTTCAATACTTAAGCTGGATTAAATTAAACTAAAAGAAAGTATATTTATAAATACAGAAAAATGTCGCCTTTCGAAGGGGAAAGCATTGAAATGGCGCGACGAAATATTTAATGTCAACATGTATTCAATTTCCGAATACAAGGAAGAAAGTTGAATTAAAAATTAACTATTTATATGAGTATTTGGGTTTTTCACAGTACTTCGGATCGATTGATGCAACACCTAAAAAAAGAATCTACTGATTACTATAACTATAAAGAGTGGCATTCCACAGTTCTTTTTGCAGTTTAAATGTCCAATATATGTTCCATAAACTAAAAATAAAGAAAATATACCACTTTTACTTATCGGTGGCTTTGCCTTTCTTTTATTGTTAAATTTACTGAAACCATGTTCAAGTAATACAGAGAATAAATAACACTATTCAAATATCATATTTAATTGTAAGAACTTGTTGGGTACTTCATAATTTGCATGAAAAAAGAGATGATCCGGTAGATAAAATCCTGCTTTAATTAAAGAGATCAGACTGATAGCACATTAAAGAGAAATTGTATGATAGAAAGAAACAATGACAAAGAACTTTTAATCAAAAATGCTATAGAGAGAAGTTTTACTCAAGTTTAGGTTTATAAGAATACTCTGCTATAATACAAATTTTTATCTTAAACAATTTTTTCATTAATTTGAATGCATATTAATAATTAAATTAAGGAAAATAAATGGCCATGTACAATAAAAATGATTGTTATTTCAAATCGATTAATTACGCGTTTTCTTCATTATAAATAATAATTCTTTTTCGAATTGTACACTCTCTTAATGTAATTGCAGACCTTCCTCGCCGATCGTTATCAGTCAGTGATTCATTTATTCGCTGATTCAATGGCCGTATCTTCGTCTTTGATGACCTTGTCACCCTTATTTCAACATCAAGTGGTACTTCTTCAATTAGTACAGCGAAAGTTATACTATTTTTATTGTTCTCTAAAAGAGACAAGCACAATTATTTAATAATATACACTATTTTATTTAAATACACATAAAAAACGATGTAGCTTGTATGAAAACATTAATTGATACAAAAATATATATAAAATGTAATTTGTGAGTGTACTTAAACATTTTACAATGTTTATCCAAACAAATATTTTGAAACAACTTAATCCTGTCTCTCTCCCCCGCGGAGGAAATATCGAAAAATTCCTCCTTAGTGTACATTTTGTTGACGTACTCTATTAACACGCAATCGAAAACGCAAAAAACCGCATCTAAAATAGTATAAATAGAAGCAGAGTACTTTACCATAAGCCTTCCCCGTAAGGCTTACCGTAAAGAACTGTTCATCTCCCATGTTTAATGGAATAATATACAGCCTATGTCCACCCTGAACTTCCATTCTAAATATTGGTGAAAGAATTTTTGAAATCGGATGAGTAGTTTCGGAGATTACCTGCTGCATANCAATAATTGAATAATTTTGTTTCTAAAAATAAACCATTTTAACTATAATTTAATAGAGACTTTGAAGTACAGTATATGAAAGATTCAAGAGCGTGTAAAAAGTCAATAAAGGTGCATTCAGTTTTTAAGTGATACTTAATATAACATTTAAAATTATCTAGGTACTTCTAATATACACAAAGAATGTCCTGAATTTCCTTCAAAAAAATTAATAACTAAACATTTATAACCATTAACGAATTCTTATACAAATTAATGATAAGTAATCGATAAAAATATTCATTTTATAATGACTTCGAAATTATAAATATCGATAATGCCCGGCACAAAATATTTTAAAATTTTATCTTCCATACTTTGCATAGTTATCATTCTTTTTTCCATTAGTAAAGCGTATTCATAACGTTAAAAATATTTTATAAATGTACTACATATATTTAAATTTGTATCACGTGTAATATATTTATAATAAAATAATAATTCAGCTCTGATAAATATAGTTAATATGAATTATAAGACAAATTATATATATTTCTATCAAATCTATGGATTATCTTTAAAGATCATCGTTACGCAAATGATGTTATTTAAACTTTCGATAAAGTAATGGACGTAATTAAATTGCGTTTGCACTAAAGAAATTCCTCACATTAACAAGTAAAAAATTTCCTGAATGCAAACAGCAATTTAAATTGCTTAAATTCCTTTTAATGACGCTAATACAGATTGCATAGTAATCAGAGCAGAACAGAATTTCTCGTGTTAAGGATAGACATAGATTTTACTTATTCAAGTTGTACTTAAAATTCGTAAAGCGAATCAATGATGAATTCGTTTGGAATTAACGAAATCTGTATGTATTGTTTCTTAAGACCGTGCTGGGTAAATGGGATGATCTATGGTGTGGATCCTTTCGAGCCATGCAACTGCCGAAATAACCAGTTTTTAGCATTTATTAAAAGAAAATATATAAAGAAATATATTGAATTTCTCGAGTTGATTCACTGGAGTAATACAGTTTTACTCTACTGGCAGATTATTCCGGGTTGGAATAAAAATGCAATTTGCATTGGATGGTACGATTTAATTAAAAATAATACTCTTCTGATGAAGGTAACACTGGCGTGCTTACAATGCTGCTTTGCTTTTACATTCAGTTTCTTCAAAAACAGAAAAATCACTCTAATAAAGACATTAAGAAACGAGGATCTTGTGGAGAAGATAAACAGAGCGAATATCTTCATTAATATCATTTGTCTGCTCTTTTCTTTTGGTATTATTTTCGCCGTGTTTTGCTTTCAGATTTACAATGTAGCATTTATCTATCCAGCGTTAGAAAAAAATGAAAAGTTTTACGGAGAAGCTCTGATTTGTGCAGTCGAAAGTGGATTTTCTGCTTCTTTCGGATTTGGCGCTATGGGTTACGCTATACTGTTAGTAGGAGTATTATTAGTTATTACCGAAATGGAATTCAACCAATTGATACAAGATTTTTCTCTTGTGAGAAGAAGCGAGAGAAATTTCTATTTCAATCTGAGAAATTTGATGCTTCGTCACGAAGAATTGTGGAATTTCGTCAATCAACTTAATACTAAATTTATTTATCCTAATTTTGTTATCTATCTCGGTTTTATATGTGCAACCAGTTTTTCTTATTATGCATTGTTTTTTATAGATGTAAATGATGCAATTAGATTAGGATTTATGACACTAGCTGTGTTCTTCACCTTCACTTGTATTATTGCAGCTTGTTTGTTGTGCAGTTTTGCTTTCTCGGTAAAGAATTTATTTCTATAAATTTTTTTTCATGAGAAAAAATTACGATAATGTAAATGTTTGAATAATATTTCCAATATTCTATTACATTTTTCAGATGCAAAATGGCTTTCAAGATGTTCGACAATTTGCTGTCAGCAATTTACATCCGGAAAAAAAGTTAAAAGTCTGTGTTTACGTCTATCAATGAACCATTTTAAATGATTATACGTAATTTGATTAATTAGTTAATTTTTGATTGCTTACTTTTATTTGTAGATCTTAAATTTCATGAAGAGATTTGGGAAAGTGACGTTGGGTATCATGATCGGTGGTATTTATCCAGTTACGAAAAGAATTCCTTTCAAAGTTTGTATTTGTTTATAGAAATACGAATTATAGTTACAATGCACTGTATATAATGCAATAATATTTTTAAGCACGATTTGAATAGTTTTATATATGTATACTTAACGGACATTAAATTACAGATATATTATATGACGATTTCACATACAGTCATTCCCACAGGAAACGTAAATAACTCGTTTAATGCATACATTCTGTGAGAAAACGTTACTCGATAGTCTATTTCCCATAATTTCCAACGAATCAGATAATGCCTTACAACGTCAACCTAAAAATGGAAAATGTTTGCAAAATTGTAACCGGCAATGTCTTTTTTATAAATAACAAATTATTATTTAGGCATGTAAAATGCTTAAAACAGTGATTACTAATCATTACTCTATAAACTGTACTATATAATTAATATGGTTGTTAACAAAACAGTTGTTTTGTATATACAATAATTTATATAATTGACAATTTGAAACTCAATCTCCTAAACATATGGCACTATAAACAGCATGCGCCCCGCGGTGGAGAAAACCTTCGATCAGTAACAGTTTTTTGTACGTTCCTGCCTCACCAATACGCTGACAATGCAGACTAAATGTCAACTAAAACAAGAAATAATGTATACAGCATTTAAATATTATATTTTACAAGTAAATTGCCCAAACTATATAAAATACATATAAGTAACTTACACGTATCATTACCCATCATCATGTATCATTTGCCCATCACAAATCCGAAGAATGAGGTGTTTACACGGACATTGTAAAATTCCGGTACATCTAGTTAAAATGGTAAAGCGATATGTAAAATATACACAAAGCTATGGGTATTAACAAAATGAAGTCTTACTGTTAAGTATATTTTTTTGTCCTATCAGAGACGATGAATGTACGTTGCTAAGTTCATTCAGATAATTTTGTTGGTACATAATAATAATAATACACTTAATAATAATCCAGCTATCGGACGGAAAAATTCAACAAAAAGATACTTGTATGTTAAATGAAGTTTTGGTATTGTAAACCAAAACCTATTTTACCGGTAAAACGTTCTGAGGGATATGCCTGTATTTTTATCTTAAGTTTATATAATTTATATAAATTTTATGTAAATTCGAAATTGTTTCTTTGAGGAATCGACAAAAATAAGTACTTTCAAATCTCACCTAGTTGTATTTGTAACATTTATTATAACATAATTATATGTCATGCAAATGCTTTTTTTCAGGTTGCGAGTAATTTACATTCTTTCTTTTCGGCATTTATGAAACTTAAAGGAATATCGAAAGAAGAAAGGGTCTGCATTAATACAACAAAATTGCATTGAGTCGCAAAAATTCGCACCTTAAACATTCCTTTTATGTATCAATAGTTTGAAATTTGAATAAAGTTAATTGAAATTTTTACAAAATGTTTCACAAGAATTGATTTCGAAAGAATTCGGAAATATTTCGGAAAGAATCTTCTCTTGTATCTGCTAGTTGGGCATGAGCTTCTAGGCTCTGTCGCCCCGTGGTAAAGTGTCTCGTAATCGTCATGTAATAGTAGTTTTATGCGTTTAACGATGGTCATTACGGGGGAAATAATGCCTTTTGGGAGGTCTTTTAAAAGCATATTCAGGCGTTACAGACGTGGAGAAAACCCGGAAAACTCCAGATCCGTCGTAGCGAGGCGCCAACCCACGAAAAAATTCCCAGTGTTCAGGAAACGGAACCGCTTGGCCAATGATGGGCCAATTTGATCTCAAATCAGAAAATAACCAGGCTTATGTATCTATAATATAAATATCACACTATAATAAATATTAAGAAAAATGTTATTGAATTTATCACACACCTTTTTTAATTCACATGAAGAATTTTCGGTGAAGAATTAAAAGGAATTACAGATTAACAGACAGAATTTACAAACAATATAAAACATCTGTTTGACATTACAAATTAAATATACTTTTATGTAATTACATATCAAGACGTTCGTGATTATTTAATGTTAGAAATTACTTTATAACATTGTCATTTTAAAAGGTTTCATCATAAATTCAGAAATAACCGTCTTATATTTTTAAAAGCATCTGAAATTAATGTCAGAAACACAATTTCTTAATTAAATATGTAATTTAACCCCTTCATTCCCGATCAATTTTTAATTAATTATAATTAAACATAAAAAAATACTTAAAACTGAAAAAAACGAAAAATATGCGTTAATTTTGAAGAAAAACCTTCAAATTTTATTGTCTTTTGTCTGGTCTTTCTGTGAAATTTGACACTGATGAGTCATTGTTTACACAGCTGGATGACCTTGAGAACAGCTGGAGTCGGATTTTCCTGGGTATTCTCATAGTCGTCTGGGGAGGACAAGGGTTTAATGTAGGGTGAATACTAGCTGGCCTTATATTTTTAAATATTTTTAAAAAATTAAAATTTTAATTGCGATTTCCGATTCCCCTAATTAATTAAATTTATATATAATAAAATCTATTAATTAAAAAAATTAAAAAAACTATTGGAGGTCGTTTTTGACATCAGAAAGTAGTTTTAAATAACTTTACTGAAGGAAAATCCGCGCGCTAGAACTTTAGAACGATGAATTAAATTTGATTTTAAAAAATCCCATTAAAAAACAATTAAGCCTTAATCGAGCCTTATTAAAGGCTAATTAAAATCGCGATAAAATTTTTTCGCGCGGACAAAAGTTTTGCAAAAATTTGTGGACCTAAAAAACATTTAAAAAATTGAAAAAAAATTGTGAAAAGTGGCCTTAACGACAGAGTTTTTAAAAATTACAGTGTGAAAGGGGTATTAGGAGCAGGAGGTCTCGATTAACTATATAAGAACTGCCGGTGCAAGTTTTTTCAATTCGAAAATCCCTCGATAGATGACCAGCACGACTCTTCTGTTAAAGGAAAAGTATGACGTACAGGGGCAAGCCACTGCTAATTTGAATTGGAGAGCATATAATTTTAATGAAATAAATTAAAAATATTATTAAAAATTGCAGCCGGCATTGTGACGATACCACAATATATAATTGCTCGTTGTCATTACCTTTTATGTTATTTACAATTATATTAGGTTTTTATTAATCCCATTGACGAGTTAATTTAACAGAAGAGTCGTGCTGGTCATCTATCGAGGGATTTTCGAATTGAAAAAACTTGCACCGGCAGTTCTTATATAGTTAATCGAGACCTCCTGCTCCTAATACCCCTTTCACACTGTAATTTTTAAGCCAGTTCAATACTTAAGCTGGATTAAATTAAATTAAAGCAAAGTATATTTATAAATAGAGAAAAATGTCGCCTTTCGAAGGGGAAAGCATTGAAATGGCGCGACGAAATATTTAATGTCAACATGTATTCAATTTCCGAATACAAGGAAGAAAGTTGAATCAAAAATTAACTATTTATATGAGTACTGGGGTTTTTCACAGTACTTTTGATCAATTGATGCAACACCTAAAACAAGGATCTGCTGATTACTATAACTATAAAGAGTGGTATTCCACGGTTCTTCTTGCAGTTGTAAATGCCAAATATATGTTCCTTAAAAATGGAGAAAATATACCACTTTTACTTATCGGTGGCTTTGCCTTTCCTTTATTGTTAAATTTATTGAAACTATTTTCAAGTAATACAGAGAATAAATAACACTGTTCAAATATCAAATTTAATTGTAAGAACTTATTGGGTACTTCATAATTTGCATGAAAAAAGAGATGATCCGGTAGAGACAATCACAATATACACTACCTTATTTAAATACACATAAAATACGATGTAACTTGTATAAATATATTAATTTATTAGAGTAAATGACGAAAATATGTTTTGTAACAACCACAAGAAAAATCACAGGACTTATATGCTTAATTACATAAAAATATATGTAAAATGTAATTTGTGAATGTACTTAAATATTATACAATGTCTATTCAAACAAATATTTTGTAACAACTTTTAATTTATCAGGTATTCCATAGCTCTTGCAGTTATGGATGCCAAATGGTAATAACAATTTCCAGAATATTGTGTAACATTTGAAAATGGCAGAGTATTGTGAGAAGTTAACTCATAATAATAAATGTTTTTGATGGTTATAAGTAATAAATCTTAATATAATGTTTACTTATATCCAGTTCGGGTGAATGAAAACATTCTGTAGTAACTCGCTTTTATTAACGATAGATACTGGAGCTGTCTGAATGCCTATAATTGAATAATTTTGTTTCTAAAAATAAACCGTTTTAACCATAATTAAATAGAGACTTTGAAGTATATGAAAGCTTCATGAGCGTGTAAAAAGTCAATAAAGGTGCACCCAGTTTTTAAATGATACTTCTAATACAGTGTTTCGCAAAGTGTGTGCCGCGGCACACTGGTGTACTGTGGTCAATAGTTGGTGTGCCTCGGAGAAATGTCGTTTTGTGAAGATAATGCACCTACACATAGCTGAGAGTTATGCGAGCGAAGCGCTTCGTTGCGCGAGGAGAGGGACAGCCCACTCTTGCGCCACATGCATGCGCGTGTCAATGTAATATTGTAACGCTGCACCCCGCTTAGTCATCATTGAGGCGACCAGATGGCTGAGCGGTCAAGGTGGCAGCCAACCGCTTTGGGGAACCCGGGCTCGAATCCGAACGGGTCGAAAACTCCCCAGAAATTTTTCGGGGGGTGGCCCGTTCGGATATGATGGGTCTCTTCCCTCACCACCCGGCAGTCCCATTGTGGGCCTGACCGAACCCATAATGGGCTTGCAAAAAGAGGCCTTCTTAGTGCCCACATGGCAGAAATAGTTAATCGAAAATATGATGAGAGCTTTAT